CTTGGTAGAGTGCCATGGTGTCATAGCTCACAGCACCCTCAAACTCTTGGGCTTACATGATTTTCCTGCCTGAGCCTCCCAAGTAGCTGGGACTACAGGTACCCGCCACAATGCCTGGCTATTTTGTTGTTGTAGTTGTCATTGTTGTTTAGCAGGTCCTGGGCTGGGTTTGAACACACCAGCCCCAGTGTATGTGGCAGTACCCTAAGCACTGAGCTACAGATGCTGAGCCATCTATGGAGTTTTATGAGCAATACACTACAGACCACCATGCATATTCACATATCTCTATTTCTTTGTAATGATAATTTCCATAGCAAGCATTTTCAATTCCTCTCCAAATATTTTTCATACTAGTACAATTTTATTTTCCAATAAGAATGTTAAATTTTATATGCATTGCTCAAAAAATAGACATATTACATCACATTCTAAACAACTTTTCTGTTTAGAAATTTTTGCTTCACCCATGTTAGCATTAGTAACTTACATCATTTAATAATCACACAGTAGTTGAGTGTTATAAATGATTAAATCTCTATGTTATCAGTATTCAAAATTTGTACTTTTTTTTGAGAACATTTGGCATAAACCTGTATGTAAAAAATGAAGTATAAAAAAAATGATCAGGACGGCACCTGTGGCTCAAAGGAGTAGGGCACTGGCCCCATATGCCAGATGTGGTGGGTTCAAACCCAACCCCGGCCAAAAAATAACTAATAAATAACAAAATTTTAAAAATGATCAATATAAGGCAGCACTTGTGGCTCAAAGGAGTAGGGCGCGGGCCCCATATACAGGAGGTGGTGGGTTCAAACCCAGCCCTAGCCAAAAACTGCACAAAAAAAAAAAGACAAAAAAAAACAGAGATGAATTTTGGGCGGTGCCTGTGGCTCAAAGGAGTAGGGTGCTAGCCCCATATACTGGAGGTGGTGGGTTCAAACCCATCCCTGGCCAAAAATTGCAAAAAGAATGATCAATACATACCATTAAAATTGCAGAATTTTGGAATTTATTTTCTGAGGACAAACTAACATAGTCTGAAGAGTAAGTAAATGTTTTATCAGGATAACTTTTAATGGAGATGGTTGCATCAAATGCTTCTGTGTATCCATAAACCTGAATTACAATATTTTCAGATGCTCCAACATGGAATATTTTTGGTGCTGAAATGACATATCTGTTGAAAGAGGAAAAGAGAAGGTTCATTATCTTTATATGGCACATTTTCTTATACTTCTGATTTTTTCTCTCACTTGAGAGACTCAGTTTGAAATTGAAATATTTACTGAACTTAAAAATGATAGTATTAAGTCAAAATTTATTTGTGATTTATGATAATTTCAGCATAATTCCCAAGAAGAAATAGTTTGGAATTCAAACCAGGAGAGTTAATTTACTTTTTTTTTTTTTTAACAGTGAATTTCTAGGCCAGGTTCAGGTAACTGAAGGGCCTTTATAATTAGTTTATATTGTCTAGATCCAATATATGCTGTTAACACAGTCTGGAACAAAATGGGAAATAACATTTTTCTAAAGACAGGCTTCGAAATTCTAATCCAGTAAGTTGTTTCTTTTCTGTGGCAGCAGAGCTGATTGATACATGGCTGCTAGGCCAGCATTCACTGGTATAGCCAAGATAACAGGATACAGAACAACAAAAATAAGACCAACCAGTCCACTCTGTGTTACAGTGCAGGTTTCACAATTCAGTTCACCTGTAGTCAAAGGTAAAGCTACAAAACTTATGTATGCTATATCTGTTGTCAGAAATGGAAGCACTGCCATTGGCGAGCCAGCAGTAATAGGAGCTTGTGTCACATACAACATGCATCGAAAAAGACTGTTTGCTATTAGGTCACAGAGAGCAGCATTAAGTCCAATATATACTGATCCATGATCAAGTAAATTCCTTTCTTATTCTGGAAGCTGGTGAATTTTTCTGGTTATGACAATGAAAAGTGTTTGGTTTTCCTTGATAGTATCATCTGGTTTATGATTTTCCATTTTGAATCTTTTTTTTTTTTTGAGACAGAGCCTCAAGCTGTCCCCCTGGGCAGAGTGCCGTGGCATTACAGCTCACAGCAACCTCCAGCTCCTGGGCTCAAGCGAGTCTCCTGCCTCCGCCTCCCAAGTAGCTAGGACCACAGGCGCCCGCCACAACGCCCAGCTATTTTTTGGTTGCAGCCGTCATTGTTGTTTGGCGGGTCCGGGCTGGGAATTCGAACCCGCCACCTTAGGTGTACGTGGCTGGCGCCTTAGCCGGTTGGGCTATAGGCGTCGAGCCTCCATTTTGAATCTTATGCTTTCCTCTCAGGAGCCACTGTCTCCCCAGATTTTCCTTAACTACACCTGGGGTGCATAGCAACCTTTGTTCAACTCTCCTGGGTGCAGCCATCTTTGGCTAACACATGACTCCATCTCTCTCTCTCTCTCTTTTTGAGACAGAGTCTCAGTTTGTTGCCCTCTGTAGAGTGCCATGTCGCCCTCAGTAGAGTTCTGTGGTGTCATAGCTCACAGCAACCTCAAGCTCTTGGGCTAAAGTGATCCTCTTGCCTCAGCCTCCCAAGTAGCTCGAACTACAGGTGCCTGCCACAACGCCTGGCTATTTTCAGAGATGGGTCCTGCTCTAGCTCAGTCTTGCTCTAGCTCAGGCTGGTCTCAAACCCCTGAGCTCAGGCAATCCAACTGCCTTTGCCTCCCAGAGTGTTGGGATTACAGACCACTGCACCTGGCTTCATTTACATTTGAAAGGTAATAACAGCACCTTCCCTCAGACATTGCAACAAAGGAAGACTTTAATGATGTTGACC